GAAAGCTTGATTGATATGAAGATATTAGTAGATTAAAAATTACCGAATCTGTTCTGTTTTTACAAATTCTCACGTAGTTTCAACAAGATTTCAAATTTTCAGCATTTTCCTGACTACTAAATCTAGACAAGTGGTTTGTCAGCACAAAGTGGCATTTTAAAGCTGAAAGCACCAACTAAAAACGAATGCTTAATCTCGAGAAGACTATTTGATATGAATAGCTAGCAGAACATTTTAGTATTGATATTGGCTTCCTTTCGACGCATTTTCAATCTCGATCTTTTACACTATTTTCCCGATGACATCGGATGGAAAATCAACTGAAATCAACTGAGTCATCTTCCATTATCTTTCTCTGTAGCAATGACTTCCTCTCCGTGGTATCTCATTACGCTATGTTTACGCAAGGATTTCTAGGRAAAAAGATCTATCACGATCTCTTAACAAATACTCTTTTCTTTGAAATTTGAAAACATACAGAGAAATGTTTGCTTAAAAAATACGCCCGCGGGAGTCAATTCTTTAAAATGGTGGAAATCAGATCTAGAATTCGAAGTACAACAAAATTTAACATTAATCAATACTATTGTTCCGATAGGGCGCCGGGAAAGCTTCCAAAAGTTGGTGCAGCCTCTCGTAGATCGCAAAGTTTCGCCGAATCTAAAAACAGTACAAGTCACTTTATCTTATAACGCGCGCTGTTGTCCGTTTGTCCGTTTATTTTTGACTTAGAGAGCTATACCGATATTTCTAGATGTTCATTATTTTAAACAATTTTACCTCTAAGAGTCCTCGTCCTCTTTAACTCGTCGTATAGCAGGTCAACTTTTGTCCACAGCAAGTGAATGCAAGTATTCTTATCCACGGGCTAGAAGCTTTTATTTATAGGGTACTTGGAACCCTTAAAATGTATTGTACGATCGACTTTTTGAACAAGTTAATAAGCTCTGGCACTTAACACTTCATTCTTTCATCGACTTCATTTTATCATGCAATGATGAATGTTGACGTTCAAATGAATAGCAATCTTCTTAAAAGACTTTGATGAATTAGTGTATGAGTGTTAGACAGCTTTCACAGGAACCAATTCACAATTTTTCCTTCAATGGAAAAAATTGACTCCATCAAATAGGTGAACAGAGAGGTGACAAGACCAAAGGCTAAACTCATTTTGGTCTTAATTTGGCATTTAAAACTGATAGGACTATGAAAGCACTCGATAAAATATCATCATTAGGAGAAATGAAAGGCAAGTGGATTTGAAAAGGGCCTCGGTGGCCGGTTTAAATTTGCTTTTCAGTGCCATTATTATCTCCATTCMAATGACGCGTCGTCGGTATTAACCTTTTCGACTTGAAACATGAAAGGCGTGAAAATCGACCCGGCAAATCAAAGATTTCAAAAGTAATGGAACATTGCTKAATCACATACCGTCTRAGTACTTTTTACATGAAAAATGGATATCAAGAAAAACTATCGAATTAAYTAGATTACATGCAAAGRGCCCGGGAAAAAGCATATATTATTTGGAGTTTCAAGAATATATATTTTCGTGCAAATGTATTTTTCTTAACCATCTTTCCTCAGTTAACCTGCACGCTGTTTCTACCATGTAAGATATTGTTTCTTTTGCCTTTTATACAATTTTCGGTTTTGGTCTTTCCTTTTCCCGCCTCCTTTTTTTTTTTTTTTTTTTTTTTTTTTTTTTTCACCCTTTTGCTTTCCCGTTGGCTCGGAGTTATAGGTTCAGTATCTCAAGGTACACACCCATACACCGTGCTGACGAGTCCCTAATAGCGCAAAAAAAAAAATACAGCTATCCGCGGTCGCGGATTCTGTCTCTATCTAACTCTGTCGAGCTGGCTGCGCTTTGTGAAAAGCTTTTTAACTTCGACGTAGTAARCCTGGCTATTCTTACTATATTTTTCTAAGCAGCTGCTGATTTTAAGAGCTCAGTATACGATCCCAGCCCTCCCCACTGAAAAAAAGGAGGATTGCCGGGCAGTACCGGAGAGATTTTTCGTATCTTCTTTATTATAAGTGCACTGAGTTATAAGTTTAAGATTAGTTTGAGGGTTCAAAGGCAAAGGCATAGCTCGTTTTATGGGGGAGATCCATGATTAGTAGYGGAAAAACCTAGCTCATTCCCTGCTCATAACAAACGCGATTCAATAGTTAAAATGCTAGAATGCCTTTGGAAATGTTTAWATATTAATTTGCCTCGCAAACATTGATTAAAGTAAAGTAACTTTATCCATGACAATTATGCAAGTTCCCAAGCTTGGAAGGGGTAAGTTTTAACTATTTAGACAGCCACACACACTTAACGATTAAATTATTTTTTAACGTATCCTAGTTATCACATTAATTGAATATTTAAACTTTATTTCAAGTTACACTATTATTTTTGTAAGTAAATTTATGTGTGTTAATAATAAAAATGTCTAAAGTCTAAAAGTAAGCACRACAGAGGTTGGCTTCAAATTAAACTGCGAAGGAGCAGAACTAAAGGGAATAATCATGTTTTTAAAATGGGAAATCCTAAATCCTGTAACACGTTGTAAATGACMGGCTTTTGAGCTTTAATTTATTGAACTTTTCTACTCCATCTTGATCAAATTACTCAGTGTTAAAACTGAAGTTTATACTGAATTCCCGTAGGTGGTCGTTGACTCTAAAGTTCGTCAGCCAAAGTACGGTGAATATGTGTGTGAGTGACTAAAAGGGAAAAGTCTAATTACACCTAAAGGAAAATTATCTATTATAATTTCTTAAATTGCATATTGCTCTTGAAACGCCTAATTGTTTAGCTTAAGAACTTAGAACATAAAAAATATTCTCAAAGAAACATAAAATGTCGGAATTTCGTAGTTATGGGCTACCTGTGTGTCGTTTTAATGTGATTTTTTWAAACTGTTTATGGGATCCCTGTGGTAAATCATGACATCATAGTCAACAATCGTTTCCATGCCAACAAGACGGAACACTGAACCAGTCTTCACTCGGACATTTAATTTTTCAATCAATCAATCGTCGATAAACATGAAGCGATTTTTAGAAATTTTTYCATTGATTTTGCGACAGATACTTTTAATTTATAAAAAATGTAACTAATACCAGCGAAAGGTAAGGATTATTTGCATCATCTGAGCGATTTATTAAGAGATCTGTAAGATTTTTCACGAGAAATTTGCGCTTCATTATCGTCGTCTGTGAAACTCAGTCTGTGTTGACTCGAGACTTGATGTTTTGTCTTAATCCTTCATCCTCGCTGAAAAATTGTTCCTTTTACTTCAGAATCATGGTCCGATTCTTACACGGAACAAACCAGACCGAAACATCATCAAGGTCTAGTTCCAAAGCTGAGGTCGTACAAAGAGATCGCAAGAACGGTTGGTCTTGTCCTTGGCATCCTCTACAGCTGATTGCCTGGTTGTTTTTGTGTTTCTTCGCTGTAACTTACTTTGGAATTGTTGTTTCTTATCTTCCTCGAGAATGGAGACCAGCTGCCTATATTGTATCCTTTCATTATGATTTTATCCAATTAATATTTTGTACTTTAACTTGGATTTWATTTTTTGAATTGCATAACAAGTCTTGTTCAAATTGATAAATCATCATCTGTCTTCACATTCAACTCGAGCAGCATTAGACTCTTGTCTGTGTGCTTTAGTTTTATTCATTGCATTAAAAATCAAGTTAACTTGTTTCTTTCAACTTGTTTTCTTGTAAACCGATAAAAACAATTTCGATTATATGTCATTAACTGAAAAATGTTAAATATTTTCGATTAAAATAAACTACGAAATCCAGTCACGCGAACGTGATGGAGTAAGCTCAAAACTGTCTACTGTAGATAGATGGTGTATTACWTATAATCGCTGAATGTTTTGATAATTTATCCTAGCAACCTCAAAATTTGATTTATTATCCAGARATATATAAACGATTGTGTGAAAAAGTCAAAAGAGCATTGTATTATTTCTCAATTGAAACGGTTTTCTTTGTTATTCACAAGGCTTTATTTTTGTCATAACCCTCATTATAAATGCGAGGTCAATATATAGTTATTAACCCAGTTAATAACTATATATAGACCGTTCGCATTTATAATGAGCAACACTTGATAGAAAACCTTCTCAATTGATAAATAAAATACTTAATTACCTCGAATGTCGGCAATAAGCCTATACATCCCTCGGGCCTGCGGCCCTCTGGATGTATATGGCTTATTGCCTCCATTCTCGGTAATTAACTCTTACTCATTATGCGCTTTTAGAATCTTTAAACGAAGGATTTCCTGGTTCTTATTTGTTGGTGACGAACRCATGATTTTTGATGTAAAATAAGCTTAATCATTACCAGTCATTAAGCTCATATTTAACAATTGAATTTAAGTGGAGTACTTCAATTATTGGCCAATATTTTTTAATACTTGGAAAGGAAATCAATTTAATTTTGGTCTATGTTTTAAAACTGGATATATATTGATAGGGACATTCAAGGTAATAACATTGGTAGATCTTGGTAGATTTTGTTATGACTGGACCGTATTGTCATCACAGATATGTAAAATTTTGCCCACAGATCAGAGGTCATTCTAATTGAGCAYGACTATGATGTTAAGAAATGCTATATGTAATATCCTCTTCTCATATTTATAGMCATGTAAATTGATATTCTTATTTTTGAATCTCTTACTTGATCCTATGCAAGATTTAGATAATATCCTCTCCAATCCAAAGTGTTTCAGGTCTGTTATTCATAATGGGTCCCCCTATAAACAGTCTTTGAACAAGTCTACTTAATCAAAATCTCTTAAAAAAAGAGGGTTTTCATGATCACATGACATCACAGCTCCCATATTGGTGTACCTTTGACAATAACTTTGTCATTAGTTTCTTTTGTTAGGTACACCAATATGCATGGCTACCATCTCTATTGTCAGTTAACTCTATAGGGAATGAGTGAAAATACTCTATASAACCATACAGTAGATATATCCTTAACTGATTGTTAAGATTCCTGGTGGCCTTTATGTCATTCATATAACAGTTCATCTATTAGCCTTGTCCATTGACCCTGCAGATCCTCACATACGTGCTGGAAAAAGCAGGGATAAGAATGCCTTTGACCGCAATCTTCATGCTCATGTTATAGAAAATAATCATTGCCATATATGTGAAGCAGATGTGTAAGTATCTAAAAGTCCTTTCTATACTTAATATTTGGCATGGTATTTGACAGGGTGATGTATATTCGTATTTGTAATGTATTTGTTGTTTAATAACAGGTTTCCTAAAAGTAAACACTGCTCGGCATGTAATAAGTGTGTWTCAGACTTTGACCATCATTGTAAATGGTTAAACACATGTGTTGGAGGAAGAAACTATAAGTGAGTATAAGAAATGATTATTRGATGTAAGACAAGTTTCTAGGATTCTTATGGCCACATAGAGCCAAAAAGGCAAGAAAAGGGAAGAATGTGTAGGAACAATGCCTCTTTGTCCCCTAAAAAATTTTTAATTGAGGCTCTTGGAAATGAGGTTTCCAATGTTTTTAGGAGTACAGTTATCGCAACATATTTATTGATATATTAAACTCATGCCAAGCATTAGGCAACTTATAATAGAAAATCATTTTTTGCCTCTGTAGTCCCTGGTAATTAGTTTGTTCACACCTTATTTTTGCAATTTTTTTCCCCAGGCTCTTTGTTGGATGTCTTGCTACTGCATTTGTTGGTTCACTGTTGATGTTTTCAGTCACTCTCTATTTATTTATTACTTATTTTACTGACAACAATGCATTGTTGTTAACTCAAACTGGTAAATATCAATACTATTTAGTTTTTTAATATGTTTGTTTTTTTTCATACTGGGCTACTTTCTGCTTTATACAGTGGTACACTGGCTTTWTGCAGTTGTTTCTCTCTATATAATAAATGTCTTTCATGCCTACTAGTTTCAAACCATACTGCTAAAGATATGTGACTCCAAGCTCTGGTTTTCCACTTCTTCCACACATGGTTTTGTTTTTGAATAAGMCACACCCCAGGTCCATGAGACCCGAAAACAAAATGTGCACACAYGCATTCCATTTTTATGRTGCAAACTATTCCACATTTTTACCRTTTGTACTCTACTAGRGAGTAAATTGTTGCCTTAACGTACCACTGGTRTTTTATCCAGTCTTTAATTAATCTACATCACAAGAAATATTTTCCCCATTTCAAGACACAAACACATACATGCAAATAATAACATGCTTGTTTTCTTTTTGTAGGAGGCCAGTTTAAATTATTTGGACCAGTACCAGATACTGTATTTGTAGTATTTGTTGGGGCTGTTGAGGGCCTGCATATAACTGCTATTGGACTTTTAGGTCATCTATTAGGATTTCATATTTATCTAAGTAAGTAAAGTCTGCAGCTCACTGTACAAATCAGTTGTAAAAGATGTAATTCTCATTTTTGACCACTGAGTTGTGCTTGTATGTATTTTATAACAATGTTTTATAATGTATCATAAAGTTTAAGGAAAGATCAGTAAGTGAACTTGTATCTCATAGRAGTAAATGAAGGGCAGCCACATAATTAAGCATTATGTTATATTTTGTTTTTCTCTGATTCTGTGCTTTCCTCTCTCTATACCCCCTACAAAATCTAACATGCTTAATTCCAAATCGATCTGGTAGTTTATATGTGTGCAATGACATTCATGTCGATCAGATCAGAGGTAAATAGACCATTTTACTTTTAGTGCAATGTTTTCCCATTCCAGACAATTTGTAGTTCTCTTGAGAATTTTTTATTTTTTTGTTTGTTTGAGTTGTATCCATACTCATGTGTCTTGTCATGTGCAATTGTTGAACAAAGAATTTTTAAAAAGAGGTATCTTGAAAGTTTTTGYATGGGCATGACCCCCGAAATGCTCAACATTCTGTACTCCTTAGCCCCATTTGTATTACTAACTTCTCTTCTATTCTCTTTCTCTCCAGTGTACATGAATATGAGCACCTATGAATTTATCGTTAATTCAAGAGAAAGAAAGCAACAAGTAAATGATGTTGAAGCTCAACGATCCTGTGAAGGAACACCAATCAGTCTTAAACGCTTTAGGGTTAGTATAACTCTTCACGTTTTGTATCGCTTGTTCAACATGCTCTGTTAGAACATGCTTATCTTAACTAGTTTATAACTGCTTAAATAAATGTATATATCGTTTACAGCTACAGGACTTTGTGACTTGGTTGCTGATAATGAATCCTAATCTAATGCCTAAGGATTGAAAGCAACCACGCACAGTGCAGCTGCTGCATGCAAAAATTTGCCAATCATAAAATTGCACCGTTCATCCATCTCTGCAGCAGTTGCATACGACTAGTTTCATCATGTGAACACGTCCCGCAATGCTACTGCTAGTGGGACATGAGGTTCTTTTTCAATGAAATTCAACTTTATATACATCGTGGCCAGTTGCATTGTGCATTCATGTGCATTAAAGAAACTGCTGATTAGATCTACAGTAAATCAGAGAACTAGTTTTATTATGTAAAAACCAGGAAAATAATTTCATGAAAGATTTTGAGGCATCAATTACCTTCACTTGCAGTGCGTAAGTATATTGCTTTTGGCAAATTAGTATCTCAATCGTATGTCTTTTGTTATTTCAAGCAGAACAAAGTCAGGCCTACTCCAGAGGGAATGGAAAATGGTGAATTGAGGTGAGTTTCTTATACTGTATATAATGAAAAAATAAGTTGTCCAATGTGGTGTAGGAGTCAATACTTAGTGACTAACATTATCTTTTTGCTGCATTTATCTTACCATGCTTGGAGAGTTGAAAAGACGAAAGGTGTGGTTTGATAGAGATAGGGCTAATATAGAAATTTTTATGTACTTGTTTAAGTAATTCTTGGTTGTGACCTCAAAAGAATTTCTTCACTTGATTATAATCTTTATTTCATGCACTTTATAATATTTAGAATAGATAACTAGCTAAAAACTAGTGTGAACTGCGTTGATGTTTCTAATGATATAGTATTTAATATTTAGTGACATTAAGTCTTGTAAGCTTCTTGCCTTCCTACCGAATCTAAATCTATATATGGTCTTCTTTGTAGTGTTGAGAGAGCACAACCAGAACATTCTTCTTCCTCTGAAGAACCTCCATGCGAGAACACAGTTAAAGTTATGAATGAAGTAAGCTCAAAGGTAGGACAAGTTTTCCTTGTCTTAAGAAAATGATAGTGATGGTGATGGCACTATTATAATAATGATAGTATTGCTGCTGCTGATGGTGAGGGTGGTGCTTATGATGGATGATAGTGGTGATGGTGCTGGTTATGATGATGGTTATGATGATGGTGCGTTGGTTATGATGATGGTGCTGGTGATGATGATGGTGGTGGTGGCCAGGTGATGGTGGTGGTGGTGGTGGCCAGGTGATGGTGGTGGTGGTGGTGGCCAGGTGATGGTGGTGGTGGTGGTGGCCAGGTGA